AGGAAACACATAGACTATTATGGAGATTGATTTTGGAATTCAGATGCACTCTTATTGATTGTGCTTGGCTGTACATGTACATGTTCTGAGTCGGTTCTGACTTTGGCAATGAGAGAGAAAGAGAGGGGGCACGTGCGTGTGAAAGCTGGACGATGAAAGAGGAAGATCAAGAAATGTTGGTGTGTCTGAATGAGGATGCTGAAAGGACTGAAGCGGGAAGAACAGTTGGGTCTCGGAGGAAGGGCCTCCAGAAGGCACCCGAGGAGCAGAGAGGGCAGGACTTCGGTCTTGCTTACTTTGAGCGTGTTCTCAGGAGAAAGCAGTGTCTGGAGCAGGACGTCATGTCAATAGTGGAGAGTTAGCAAACGAGAGGAAAACTTCGCATGAGCTGGATTAACACAGTGGCTTCTAAAGGGCTCTTAGATACGGCAACGACTTTGGTGGTGGAGAAAGAACCGGACAGTCTGCCGTCTGTGGTGCATGGGGTTGGTTCCAAACTGGAGCTGACACTATCCATATCAAAACTGTCTTCCTAATGCCCCGGGACTCCCTCCGCCCTACTCCTGGCCAGTGCCCTCCCGTTGGTCGCTGCACCTGGGGCCTCTGCCCCTGAGTTCATTTCTCTGACTTGAATTTCCTATAAATGAAACAGCACAGCCTCTGCTGTTAGGGGCCTGGTTCACCTTGATGTTCACCTGGGAGTCTGTCCACATGGCTCAGTGCGGACCGTAACCTGCCTTTCAAACACCATTTTACGAATCTCACACACTTTGTATGTTAACCCTCTTTCTGGTGCCCTTGTGGGCTGTTTTCAGTTTGGGACTTGGTGAGCGTTTGTGTTTTGGGTTCACCAGCCGCTGTTCTAGAAGGTACGTGCCCAGGAGTGGACCTGCTGGGTGCGTCTTGGAGGGGGTTGCAAACTACTGAGGGAATCCCTGGTGTTTTTAGCAGAGAGATCTCAAGGGGGGTAGGGACTCTGAGAAAGTGTGGGGAAGACCATGCGTGGAGCTCATACTCTCCTGAGCAATTCTGGGTAAAGAAAAGGTTACATTTTCAGAAAAGAAAAAAAAAAGAAATTGGAGTGTTCCTGCTGACTAATGCAGCTTGTCCTTAAACCACGCTGACCCTGTCACAAGGTGGCCACGCGTGTCAGAGCAGAACTGTGCTCTATAGAGTTTCTAAGGACTCCTTTTTCAGCAGGAGGTAGCCAGGCCTTTCTTCCTTGGCACTTCTGGGTGGCCTTGAACCACTAACTTTTTGGTGCACAGCAGAGCGTGTGTGTGTGTGTGTGTGTGTGTGTGTACTGTCAAATCCAATTGACTGGTGTACAGCAGAGCGTGTGTGTGTGTGTGTGTGTGTGTGTACCATCAAATCAGATCTGACTGGCACAGGAGGAGATTGCCCCTCCTTCTCAAGCAGAGCATCTGGATTCGAACCACGCACCTTCGGGGGCAGAGCACTTTTAATTCCATGCGCTGCCCAGGGACTGTGCCCTGGCTTTGCAGCTGTGGAGTGGATTGTGACTCTTGAAGGGTAGAAACCGCCTGAGAATCGTCTCAAAGTTCAGTCTGAACCTCTCCACCCAGGCTGGGACTTGAGAGTCAGCGTTCCCATCGAGCTGCCCTTCACGCCGAGTTGTGGTTGGCCCAGTAGAGACCCCATGTGATAGAGAATTGCCCCGGGGGGTTTCTGAGCTTGTAATCTTTACAGAAACATCACCAGATCTTTTCTCCCACGGCCACTTACTGACTCTGGTAGCAGTTGAGTGCTTGACCACTGAGCCACCAGGCCCCCTTTCACTTTGAGTCCGTGAAGTCCAGGTAGTTTGGACATGGAGTGACTCTCCGTTGGGTTTCTGAGGCTGTAAATCGTGACAGGAAATGGCCCGTCCTTCCAAGGCACGGTGGGTGGATTTGAACTGCCGAAGCCACTAGGCAGCACAGGTAAGGCTCTGTCCCCCTGCCATCTTGACTTTCCCTCAACACTTCCTGGGAGAATGTGCGCTGGGGCTGGAAGTGGGCCCCCAGATCCCATCGTGTCGCTCCGTGCAGGCCGTGCTAACTCTTGGTCCAGGGAGGACTCCAGCAGGTGCCCGCCCAGTCACCTGACCTGTCTTCTGAGCTACCTGAGGGCTGAGCAGGGCAGGGGAGGCAGCACCTTTGACACACTGCTCCCTGGTGGAGGTGGGAGGCAAGTCTTAAGTCAAGCCTGTCCCCCTACTCCTCCCTGGACCTTCGGGCCTCTTCTGGGTTGTCCCACCACCTGGGTCATCATCGTCTGTCAGGACTCAGAGTCTGCTCAGGCTGACCACCTCTGGACCCGGGAGCAGCAGTGCAGACAATGCAGGCTCAGGGTGGGTGTGTCCAGCAGGTCCTCTCACCACCCTGCTCCGTCCCCGGGGCCTCAGGACTGCAGCCACCCCACTGCCCTCGAGGGCTGCTTATGTGTGCACACGTGTCGCGTGAGGCTGTGTGTGTCCCTGCACAGTACTGCCTCCAGTAGCCTGGTGGTGCTGGTGAAGAGTATGGAACACACCGTGGACGGTCAGAAGAATACACAGATCTGTCCTCGAGAAGGTGCAGCCGGGGTGCTGCTTAGAGGCTAGCTTCGTGAAACTCTGTCTCACGTCCTTTGTGTTGACACAAGGGGCTTGTCTGTGGGAAAAGACATCCTGCTGAGAAAGGTCCAGGGTCTTTCCCAAAAGAGAAGCCCCACCAGATGGACTGGCTCAGTAACTGACAGTGGACGTGACCGTGTAGGACGTCAGGAGGATGGTCCTGTGCAAAGGCATGGCTTCCTCTGCTCAGAGGATCTCTGTGAGTCGTGGACGTTTTGACAGCACCTAGAAGCAATGACAAACGGGAAAGGGCCCAGACTCTTCCCACTGGGCCGACTGTGAGCATTGTAAAAGGGGATGTCAATGCAGGCTCCCCACCAGACAGCCCAGAACGGGGCCCTGGGGCCTTTGGGCTTCGCAGGGGACCACAGGCAACGAGAGGAAGTAGTCAGCTCAGGAGCCCGGCTTAGGGCCAGCCCAGCCCTGTGTGGCAGCCACCACATCTGCTGTCCGCTGGTGTTCATCTGCCTGAATCAGGAGATTAGAGCAAAGGGGAGGGGACACCGGCTTCCTGATGGACAGTGGCTCACTGAGACACCCGACAGCCTGGGAAAGTGCCATTCCCAAGGCAGAGGTCCCAGATGCCTCCTGCCCTCTGTTCTGGGCAGGTTCTGGGCTTGCTGCCCCCTTGGCACCTGGGGATCAACTGTCCCTTTCATTCTACAGTGTACTTGCCAATGGGCACCAGTACCTAGAATGAGGTGCTTCACTTTCTGGGCAGACAATGACTGACCAGGACAGCGGGCTCTCTGCACAGAGGGCTTGCTGGGTGGTGCAAATGGCTAACACGCTGGCTGCTAGCTGGAAGGTTAAAGTCCATCAGGAGGCACTCAGAAGAAAGGCCTGGTGATCCGCTTCCCCACTGGAAAGCCCTCTGAGCACAGGGCTGCTCTGACCCTCAAGGTCACCTCGAGCTGGTCTTGACCACACCTGAGTTTGGTTGGCATGGAGGAGGTGGCTACTCCAGGTGGCATCCCCGGCATCCAGCTCAGTGCTGTCTTCCCCGGGAGGGCTGGCTGGTGCACGGACTGTCCTTCTCTTCAAAGGTGTTCCCCAACCTCCTCTAACTTCCCCAGGTAGCAATTCCTCACCGACAGCCTCATTACCTCTACACTGCTCTGAACTGCAGGTCAGGCAGGGCCTAACCCTCTACCTGCATCCAGGTGTGGGAACCAGAAGCCTGGCACTAGCCTTTGCTGTTCCTCTCCCAGCACCCCGCATCCTGCGGTCACCTGTCCCCACCCAAGCGTGTCACTGGGAGTGGGTCTGGCTTGGTCTGGATGCGTTTTATACTATCAGTTCTGACTCCTAGCCACTTTGCAGGACGGTTACAACCCCAAAAACCTAGGGTTTCCTCCACTGTGATCTTTATAGAGCCAGACTTTCAGGCCTACTCTCTCAAGGAGCCCCTGAGAGGGTTTGAACCTCTGACCTGTTCGTTAGCAGCTGAGCATTGAACCACTGTGCTACCAGAGTTTCGTCTCCACAGTGGAAAGGTTAGGATGCCAGGGGACAAACTCAGTCTGTTTCAGGTGGCCGTCGATGTGAGGCTCAGTCACAGCTCACACCCCCTGGTGGAGGTCTTGGGGGCAGTGCCCCCCTACTGACCGCAGCCCTCTCCTCTCCCCACAGTCGCTGCTGTTCCTGGGGCTCGTGGCCGCCGTGGGCCTTGCGCTGAACCTCCTCTTCCTCGCTGTTTACCTGGTCTGCTCGTGCTGCTGCCGGCGGGATGATGGCGGCCAGACCAAGCAGCTCGGCTCCTACTGTGTCACCTGGACGGCCGTGGTGGCCGGGCTCGTCTGCTGGTGAGTGTCCCCCTGGCGGGGTCTGGCCTGAGGGTTGGGGGCAGCCTCGGCAGATGCACTGGAGTTAAGCATCAGCTTGCCTGTGTCCCTGGTGAGGCAGCCACCATGCCCATCGATGACACCCCTTCCTTGTCTGACAAGGTGGCCTTTGACCGGCATGGGACCTCCTGGAAAACTTGTCCCTGTGCCATCTTGCTTCTTGCAGCAGGAACCAGATGCCAGGGGGTCCTCCATAAGGGTGCCACCTTCTAGCCCCCAGCCCCCTGCCCTGAGTGGGCTTGTCCAGTCCAGGCAGGCCGCAACCTGAGGCATTGGCCGGGCATTGGGCATCTCTCTGACCCTGAGCCCCAGCCAAGTGAGGTCAGAGGACACCTGCATCAGGCTGCATCTGTTCTGCCATCACATGGTATCAGTAGCATTGACTGCCATTAGCCTGCTGTTTGCTTTTGATGGGGAGGAGAGGGCTCCTGGCTCGGGGACCCCAGATTGGGAAGAAGAGCCATGTGCTGGGTCTCTGCTGGATCTCACTCATTTTCCTAGTTTTTGGCATCTACACAGGAGTCTGGGGCTTCCTGGGGTTGAAGACTTTCAGCCCCAAATGTCTGTTATATCTGCGAATCCAGAGTGGAGTGAAGGATGTGAGCCTGGGTGTGCCAGAGGCTGCCCAGAGTGGCTCACCTGGCCAGCCTCAGTGGGCTCACCTGGCTCACCTGGCTGGCCTTAGTGGGCTCACCTGGCTCACCTGGCCGGCCTCAGCAGGCTCACCTGGCTCACCTGGCTGGCCTTAGTGGGCTCACCTGGCTCACCTGGCCGGCCTCAGCAGGCTCACCTGGCTCACCTGGCTGGCCTTAGTGGGCTCACCTGGCTCACCTGGCCGGCTTCAGCGGGCTCACCTGGCTCACCTTGTTGGCTTTGATGGGCTCACCTGGCCGGCCTTGGCGGGCTCACCTGGCTCACCTGGCTGGCCTTGGCAGGCTCACCTGGCCAGACACATCTTTATCACCACCCTGCCTAGTGTGTGAAGATCACTCGGGCAGAGACAGGGAAGCGCCTAGAGCTGTGATGCTGAGAAGACAAGCGAGAAGCACATGACAGAGCCCAGAGCCGACGCAGACACATGGCCTGAGCTTAAATAATGAACCTAAAGAGTCCAGCTGGGGCTGGGAGCCGAAACGGCCGGGATTCCCCGCAGGGAGGGCAGATGGGTCACGGTGGTTACCGTTCAGAGAGCCAATGTCCAGCCTGCGGTGCCTCAAGGGGCTCACACGTGACAAAGTGATGATGATGATGATGGGGGGAGGACCTGCTTCCTCCCCCACCCCCCCAGGCCCCCAGCTTACAGCCTGGCTGGAAGCCACAGTGCAGCCATCGAGACATGAGATCTGCCGAGAACCGGAAGCGGAGCAGATCACAGAGTGTGTTTCGGGTGCCTCTGAAACCTCCAAGTGGAGAAGCCGAGAGAGCCCTGGGGAGCACGGGGCTGGAGTTAGCGATTGTAGAGCTGAGAGTCGGTAGGTGGTATCGAGGCCTCAGATCCAGGGGAGAGAGGCCCGAGGAAGAGAGAGAGTAGATAGTTACGGAAGAAGCCTCGGCCAGCCGCCAACCTCGAAGCCCTTCACGTCAGTGGAGACTGGAGCACGTATGTGGAGGGGTCTTCTACCTGCAAGGGCCAGGCTGGTGGCACCAGGCGAGGGACCCTCCGTGGGCCTCCACAGACCAGACCCATCTCACAACCACACGGGGAAAATCTCTGACACATCAAGGTCTAGAAGTGTGAAGCCTACAGCACCCTGACTCCACACCAGGGGCTCTGTGTGGATGCGCCCAGGAAACACCAGGTCATGAAACGGGTCATTTAGGAGACCAAGTTACAAACACCGGGAGCCAGCAGGGGTCTTTTCAAGCCATGAGCTGATAATAGTCTTTGACTTCGTTTTTCTTTTTAAATGCTATAATGAATTTTATTCCACATTTTTTTCAGTACATATGTTGTTTGATTTTTTTTTAATTCATTTTCTTCCTCTCTCTTTCCCTTCCTGTTGATGGTAACTCTCCCAAGATTGGCCGCGTCTGTAGCCTTTTTTCTTAGCTTTTTGTATCAGTGGTTGGTTTTTTGTTTTGTTTTGTTTTTTTTAAATCAGTGGTCTTCTATCACAATGGTCCTTTTGTGACTGACTCAGTCACTCAGCATCATTTGTTTTAGATTCATGCGTGCTCTACAGTCTTTCATGAATTCCTGACTTTTTCAGTGGTGCGTAATACTCCATTGGGTGCCTGTACCAGAGTTTCTTTAGCTATTTGAGACGATCGGATTTCACTAAAGTTGAGAATCAAGGAAATGCAGTAAATATGTGAACTTTCCAGGGAAGCTGGGCTAGATGGTGGGGCAGCAAAGTGATTTCAAAGCTGAGTGAACAACCCTGGCTGAATCGAAAAAACAGCATAGATGGAAAACGAGAGAGAGAGAGTGAGTGTGTGTGTGTGTGAGAGAGAGAGAGAGAGAGAGAGAGAGAGACAGAGAGATGGCTACTGTGTCTCTCATCTGTATATCTGATCTGAGATGTCCCTGTCTACGAAGCTCTGGTGGCTTGGTGGGTAAGGAGCTGTGCTGCCAACTCAAAGGCAGGCAGTTCAAACCCACCAGGAGTTCTCAGGAAGAAAGTTGGTCAGTCTCCTGCAGTGTGATTGATGTTGTTGTTGTTATGTGCCGTTGAGTCACCTGTGACTCATAGCGACCCTATGCACAACAGCCCTAACCCCTGGAGGGTCAGGCACAAGCTGGTTTCGACTCGACAGAGATAGAGAGAGAGAGAGAAAGTCTGCTCGTCTGTATCTAGTCTGTCCTGGTCTGTGTACCCTCTATCTCAGTCTGTCGTTGCTGGTGCCGTTGAGTCGACTCCGGCTCACCACGACCCTGTGGGAGTAGATCTGAGCTTTGCCTTGACCTGCCATCCCCCCGTGATCTCTGATACCTCAGTGTCATCTCTGTATTCGGTGAAAGCAGTGGGTGTAAGGCTGCAGAGTCAGACCTCCACCCACTAACTTCACAGAGAGGCAGACCCCCGTCCACAGCATGAAGCTGATTCCAAGGTAATTCACATGCCCTCGCACGCCACACCTGCATCTAACAACAACAGCACCAGTTGTCCCGCCCAAGGCCCTTCCTCCTTCTCTGCTGGTTTGATAATTCATTACAGTATCTCCTAGAAAATTAGAAAGCGTCAGGGAAATGGCTCGTGGGGTTGTGGAGGCCGACAAGCCCCAAATCCGTGGGTCAGGCTTCATTCAGCCTGGAGGGCTCCTTTGAGCACGTGGCGGCAGGGACTCGTGGAGGCTGACAGCGTGGCTCACTGACCAGCTGCAGGCAGTGGATTGTGGGACAGATGCATGGTCCCGCACAGAGAAGGGCTGAGCCTTCCAAGAATGTTGCTGGGTTTAGAACCTCAGGGCTACAACCACCCCCGCGAGAGAACTTAGGGAGATACCTTGGGTCAAACCCTCCAGTGAGGTGGGGACCCGGGATACGTCCCACCCTGGTCCTTCCTCGTTAACACAGCAGACAGCTCATTCTAGAATGAGGTCATGAGCACAAAGTGGCTCGGATCTACAGCACATCACCAAAGGGAGGCTTGTGGCTGAACCGTGGTGCCGGCAGGCTGGATAGGCTATCCCGTAGATTTCCAGAAGAACAAGCACGTCCGTCCTGGGAGAAGTGCGTGCGGCCGGGGTGCTCTGAGGCACGGATTCTGCTCCTTCCATACTTGGGGCATGTTTGTCAGGAGGGTCTGGTCTCTGGAAAAGGACCTCGCGCTTAGAAAAGAAGGTGGTCAGAGAAAGAGGAGACGCAGTGAGGTGGACTGACGGTACCCGTGGCTGTGGCCCGAGCAGTGGAACGTGTGGACGGCGGGGCGGAGCAGGCTTGGTTCTGTTGTGCTCGGAGTCTCTGTGAGCCAACACAGACTCCGTGACACCTATCAACAACCACCACTTGGCCGGAAGGGCCATTTTAAATGACCTGCTGCACCACACTGCCTTCTGTGTCTGCGCCTCGTCGGCGTGTGTGCACGCACAGCCCATGGGACGCATAGGAGCCTGCTGTGGACGTGCCCGCTCCCAGACCACACTCGGTGGTGTCCTCCTGGTAACAGGGACCCCAGGGGGCTCTGCCCTGTGCTCCACAGACCAAGAAACACTAAATTAGAAGCTGAGGGCACCAGCAAAGAGGTCTCCAAAATAGCCCACAGGACCCCATTTTAAATCCTTCCCTTTAAAAAAAGGAAGATTCTAATAACCATGTCCTTGGAGGCTTGGATTTTGAAGCTCTGTCTCACAGACTTCAGCCATGTTGCCAGAAGGTCAGTTTTGGGGAAAGACATCATGTTTGGGAGGGTGGAGGGACAGCACAGGAGAGGAAGACCCCAGAAGAGATGGATTGACTCAGTAACTGGGGTAATGGGGCAGGTAGATGTGTCAGAGTCACTGAGATTGGCTCAGGACAGGACTGCTGTGAGCCGCAGGCAACTCAATGACACACAACAACATAAGAACCATATTTTTCCGCGTATAATATGCCCATGGAAATAACACAGCACCCATGGAAATAACATGCATAGGAATACAATATGCCTGGGGGTTGTGCTTTATTTTTTTTAAAGAAGTTATTAATTTTTGTGGGTACCATCAGATCAGATCTGACTGGTACAGGAGGAGATTGCCCCACCTTCTCCAGCAGAGCATCTGGTAGATTTGAACCGCGGACTGCTAGGAGAACAGACACGTTTGTCCCGGAGAGGATGAAGCCAAATGCTCCCTGGAGTCAGGGATTCTGAGGCTTCGTCTGACATACTTTGGCATGTTGCAAGGAGGGACTGGCCCTGGGCGAGGGACATCATGTTTGGGAGAGTGGAGGGACAGCGCAAGAGAGGAAGACCCTCGATGAGATGGATCGATTCTGTGAGTAGAGTGGTGGGAATGAGTGTCTCAGAGACGACGAGGTTGGCACAGGATAGAGCAGCGTTTAGTGCTCTTGTACATAGGGTCGCTATGAGTCGAGAGCAACTCAAAACGGTACATAACAACCACCACCTCTGGGACGGAGTGCAGCTTCTTGCCACTAGGCCACCAGACCTCCCTAGGGGTTGTGCTTCCTACCAAGAAATACCTGTGACTGGAAGATTATTTGGATCAAGGTGCAGTGTATGCCTGTCTGTGTGTTCATTTATTTCGTCTTAAAAAATTGTGGATGCTTGGACGGATGAAAACCCAGGAGGAGCCTGATGCCTATGTCTTCAGATGACCTCACCTGGCATGGGTCAGATCAAGCGTGAGAGATGGCAGAGTGAAGCTGGGAAGGGCTTTGATTAGCCTGGAAGGTTGGACTGAAGTCAGCGAGGTGAAGTTTAACAGGGAGAGGTTGAAACACCCACCCAGAGTTGTAGTTCTGCTTTTAGTCACAGGCTGGGGAAGCCCGGCCGCGTTTGCAGAAGGAACTTCTCACAGCTGACATCTTTCAGCAGGTGAACAGACTGCCCGTGGGTGGCGAGGAGGATCGGGCAGAGGGCATAGAGGGGCGGGCGTGTTCCCAGAGGTGTCGCTAGGGCACCAGGTGTGTGGGTTCACTACAGCACCAGTGCCCGAGCCCCCCTGTGCGGTGAAGTACAGGTTCCACGCAGAGCGGCTGCATCAGACACTGTTGTGTTGGGACCCTCGAGGCCACCCGGATGGATGGCCACGGTGTCCACTGGTGCCCTGTCTAACCTTTCCCTGGGGTCTCCTCCGCAGTGCTGCAGTTGGCGTCGGCTTCTATGGAAACAGCGAGACCAACGATGGGGTGTCCCAGCTGATCTACGCCCTGAACGATGCTAACCACACCTTCTCCGGGATTGATGCTCTGGTAAGGCTCGCGGGCAGCTGGGGGACCTGGCCACGACCCAGGAGGTCAGTGCGGCCAGAACAAGGGCCCCAGTCAGACCGGTGGCAGCGCCGACACAAGGGCCCGTGTGATGCTGGGCCGCGGTGTCCTCTGCCAGCGTGGACGGGGCTCTCTGCTCCCCTGGCAGAGATCAGGGCTGAGGGCCAGAGAGGGGACTAATGCAGGGCCTGGAGGGACAGCGGCAAGGCGGGTTGGACCCTGTCATTTCCAGGAGGAGCGGGGCAGGTTCCATTTTCAGGAGATCCGAGAGAAGGGGTACAGTCTAAAAACCATTGCTTTCGGTTGGGGGCAGTGGGTGGGGCCGCTGAGCCTTAGGCCACGGGGACAGTGGCAGTGGACGAGAGCCGGGTTTCTCACATACCAGCCTCGGCCTGCCATGTGTTGTAAGCTGGGTGGTCTTTGGGCAGGTTCGCTGGGCAGCCCCTTGGAGGCGAGGTTTGCGTAGAAACAGCAAAGGCCAGCTTCCTAGGCCCCAGTCCTTGGCCATGCTCCTATTCCCGGTTCCTCTCTGGATCTGTCACCAGCAGATAGTGACCATCACAGCACGTGGCCCTTGGTGACCAGCAGCCACTGGCATCTGCTGGTGCGGTGGAGGTGGGTGTTCCCCCTCTGGGCCTGCCCCTCCTATTCCCCTAAGCTGCTCGAAGCCCTTAATCCTTTGGTCAACGGCTCACCTTAAAGACACAGGTCCCTCCAGCCCCAGAAGGCCCTTTCTGAGACTGGCGGGCAGGCTGGAGCCAGGGCTGGTCACACGTGTCTACTGGGACCCCCTACCCACCTGGGAGACGGAGGGCTGATGTCCCAGGTGGCCGGTCTGTGACAGCACCAGGGTGAGGGCGGGTTGGCTGAATGGGGGAGCTGAGAGACTGATTAATCATGAAATGGGGGCGTCCCCTCTAGTGTCCGAATGCCCCGTGGGCAAAGCATACGCAGGCTTAACGTGTTTATATACTGGTCCCTAGAGAACAGGTCCACATGTTCTTTACTGTGTCAAACATTCTGCTTTCGTGTATGGCTGGCATCTGTCTCTCGCTCAATCCAGCATCTTTATACGAAATAGAACCCTCTTTTAAAATGTATCTTCCCTGTCAGGGACTGTGCCCAGGAAGCGAGGGGAGCGTGGGTTACTCACGCCTCCTGACGTGTCTGTAGAGAACAGTTTCACATCTTGATACGATAAAACCCAACCCACCACTGGAGAGTTGAGTCCTACTTATAATGACCCGGCTCCTTTGAACTTGGGAGACTGTAAATCTTAATGGGAGGAAAACAGTCCACCTGCTTCCTGAGTACCCGCTGGTGGATTTGAACTGCTGACCTTCTGGCTAGCAGGCAAGCGCATTATGCACCGTGCCACCAGCGCTGCTTTACTAGATGTGCTTGCCTTGTCTCTTGGGCTTCCCGTGCACGGAGGGTCCTGGAGGGGGCTGCTCGGTGGTATCAGCTTCTGGCTGCTGTTTGACCTCTCCCCTCACCAACCCCCCACCAGAACTTCGTAGACGGAGCCTGGTCCAGAGAGGAGGGTTCTGTGGGAACGCCCCAGTGCTGTGACCCTGAGTGGCTAACCTGTGACACTCGGAGGGCTCCTTGTCTCATCAAACCAATCCTGACTCCTGACAACTCCGAGTTACAGGCAGGGTTTCCTTGGCTGTGAACTTTATGGAAGTCAATTGCCAGGCGTTTATCCCACAGCACCGCTGGGTAGGTACAGACTGAAATGAAGCCCAACCCCTGCTGTGGAGTCCATGGTCATCTCACACACACACACACACATACATGGAAGAACACAGAGAGAGACACACACAGAGAAGAGTGGGGTGGAGTTAGTGACCAACGTACACAGAGACACAGACAGCAGGCAGGCAGACACACACACACAGACACAGAGACACACACACACACACACACACACACACACACACACACACACACACACCCCAACACACAGAAGAGCAGGGTAGAGTCAGTGACCATTACACACACACACACACACACACACACACACACACACCCCAACACACAGAAGAGCAGGGTAGAGTCAGTGACCATTACACACACACACACAGAGACAGACAGACACAGACAAACAGAAGAGCAGGGCCCAGACTGAGAGTGGAGGCTGGAGATGAGAGTGTTGGTGAAAGCACCTCGTCAACTACAAAGTACGCTCCAGATGGGGTGATTATGATAATGAGATCATTACAATAATTGTTATAATTGCTGAGAGGAGGCTTAGCTGGGGAGGGCAATAGGTGGGCGGCGAAGTAGGGGTGCTCACGGACTTGTGAGACCAGATGAAACCCAGGCCGTCTTGGGAGCTCCAGTCCACAAGAGGCTTCTGGGGAGCACACAGTGGATGGTCCATGTCCCCCTCCCGCCCTTCCTGTTCCACCAGTCCCGGGGTGTGATGTTCGACCACAGAGGGCTGTGCCCTGATGGTGCAGACGGTCCTGGTGGGCTCCCCCCACATCCTAAGGGGCCATCACCAAGGGGTCACTTGGGATGCTGGAGCCCAGGGACAGGCAAAACCAGGGTCCAGTGCCCATAGAGTTACTGGACCAACTCCCTATCCCAGGGGGGTTCTCCGCTTTCTCCATGTCCCTTGGAGCTCGATAGACGACGTGTGGGTGCCTCAGGCTCAATCTCGTTGGACCCCAGGCGTCTGTGGGGAGCATGGGACGCAGGAGCTGAGGCACAGAAAGAGGACAGTCCTGTCCCCAAGGTGAAAGCTAGAACCCAGGGCTTCATCCTAGGTTTTCTCCACTTTACCGTCCCAAAGAGGAGCCTTGGTGGCACAGCGGTTAAGTGTCCAGCTGCTAACCAAGAGGTTGGCTGTTCAAGCCCACCAGTTGCTTTGCAGGAGAAAAGAGGGGGCTCTCTGCCTCAAAAAGACTCACAGGCTTCGAAACCCTCCGGGGCAGTTTTGTCCTGTCCTGCAGGGTCTCTCTGAGTCAGGATCAGCTGGTGACGTCCTCCCTGCATCTGCGGTCCAGCCTCCCCATCCTGCCCCCCTTGCCTCCCCGAGCACGTCGCCAGGTGGAGAGGCGGCCTCAGGGCTTCTCAGACCGCCTGGAGGGCTTATTAAAACGTCATCACAGGGCCCACCTCCAGAATTTCTGACTCATGGGCTGGCCTGAGAAACTGCGGTTCTAGTGAGTTCACAGGGAGAGCTGCTACCGTGAAGGAGTCCTGGAGCACAGGCGTCAGGCCTGGGCTGCTCACCGAAAGGGTCGCTGCTTCAAACCCACCAGCAGCTCTTCAGGAAAGAGGCCTGGCAGACTCCTCCCGTGGAGACTAAACCAGAACCAAACTCCCTGCCGGTGTGTCAATTCCAGATCCTCATGGCCCCGTAGAACAGGCCCCCTGCCCCCGGGTAGTTCTTTCCAGAGACGGGATGTCACGCTGTCCTCCTCCAGAGCACGATAGCTAGCCGCTGAGTGCTTTAACCACTACACCACCACAGACCCCCCCTCTCTGTGCTGTTGAGTACGACTCCGAGTGACCCCACAAGCAAGAGATGTGAGCCTGCCCTGTCCTGTGCCGTCCTCATCGTCTCTGAGCCCATCGCTGCAGTCACTGTGTCAGTCTGTCTCATTGAGGGTCGTCCTCTCTTTCTCTGACCCTCCACCTCTCCAAGCACGATGTCCCTCTCCAAGGAACAGCCTCTCCTAGCCACGTGCCCCAAGTGTGAGAGATGAAGTTTCTCCCTCCTTGCCTCCAACAAGCATTCTGGCTGCATTTCTTGAAGGCCTGTTTATTCAGCATTTTTCTCCAGAACCACAATTTAAATACCGCAGATATTACAATCGAGGACGCTCAGTGGGCCAGTTCTGCCCTGCCCTGTGGGATCATCACCTCACTCCTCCCAGACTCAGCTCGGCCCTGAGTGAGAGGAGGGCAGGCTGGGAGAAGGGCGGTCCCCATATCTGGGGTGGTTTCACCCCAGTCTCCTTGACGATGCACTGTGTGCAGGAACCCTAAGGCTTGAGGGGCGGGTGGGGGGAGGGAGAGATGTGGGCAGGGCCCTTCTGTGATGGTAATTTTTGTTGCTTTGTGTTGTTTCCTGCGGGAAGACATCAGGAGGAAAGCCAGACGCTGACAGCTGTTGAGTGTCTTGCTTTTTGGAGCTGAGGTTTCCGAAGCAGAAGTGTTAAAAGATCTAGCATGAAAGTGGCCTTATGGGAAAGTTTAAAGATCATTTCCCAAGTTCTTTTGATACACAAGTCAGTTCCCCTTCAATTGATTGCAGCCCTTTCAGAGCAGATCACCAGGCCTTTCTTCCGAGACACCTCTGGGTGGGCTTGAACCTCTGACCTTTCAGTGAGCAGCCAAACACATTACCATTGGTACCTCCCAGGGGCTCCTGATATTAAATCCCCAGAAACCCAGACCCACTGCCGTCACGTTGACTCTAACCCTTCACAGCCGTCCACTGTGTTCCCAAGGTCCTAAATGTTTGTAGAAGACGGGCCAGGAGGAACCTGATGGATTCGAACCACCGGCCCGTCAGTTCACACTGATGCGTTAGGCCCCACGCCACCACGGCTCCCTTGATGTCCTTCACGCAGGCTCACAGGAGTGTCACGTGTGCTGGGTTTGCTCCTAAAAGTTATCTATCAGTTAATAACAGCATCCCTGTATCATAAGGCTGCAAAGTACCTGTACGTATATTATTAAATCAAGAAGGATGATACTGAGTTCTCAGCGGGGCCCTGGTGGTGTAGTGGTTAATTACAAGGTCAGCTCCACAGGAGACTCTGGTGCTGTGTTTACCTGAAGGTGACAGCCCCAGAGATACCCTCCACCCCACCCCACTGACTGACTCGACAGCTGTGGGGGTTTGGGTCTTAAGTCCTGAATTTAAATTTACCTTTGCTAGCTGCCCCCCCCCCCAATCTGGAGCTCCAGCGCCTGGACTTGAGGGTCGCTGGCATCTCGTAACCTTCCACCCGCTTTGAAGAACCAGGCACAGGCAGGAAGAGGGGGCAAGGCGCTGGCTCCGAAAAACAACGAAACAAAGAGCCATTGTCCTTTCCGGAATCAGGAACTTGGTGTGAGGCAGCCGCAGCCTCAGTGTTAACTCCTCGGAGTTTGTCGGCCTGGCTGCTGGCTTGTCATTGCGGCTTGTCAGCATTCTTCCTGAGCCGCAGGCTGCCGGTGAGGAGTGGGCATTCACGAGCTCTCACTTGCTCTGTCTCTCCCTGTCTGTCCCTCTCTGTGTCTCTGTCTCTCTCTCTCTGTGTCTGTCTCTGTGTGTGTCTCTCTCTCTCACACACACACACACACACACACACACAGAGTTGTGCTTCTTCTTTGAGCCTAACAATTCAGAACAACAAAGCCCTTCTTTGCCTTGCTGCCGGCATGCCGGCCCCGCTCAGAAGAGACACACCTGGGGACCCTGCACTGTGTCCTCAGAAAACCTGGGTCTACATGACTTGAAAGCGCCTTTCCAGTGCCCAGCCCTGGGAGTCCCTGAGAGCTGCAGTTAAGGTGCTCAACTGCTTATCACAAGGCTGGAGGTTCAAGTCCACGTAGAGGTACCTGTGAAAAAAAGCCTGGCGTTCTGTTTCCTTCACCACCAACCATCGAAAGCCTCTGGACCACAGCTGTGCTCTGAACTAGTGTTGTCACTGACTCAAGGCCAACTGATCTGCTCAGTCTTGCACTGAGCCTTTCCCTAACCCTGCTGAGTTCCTGTAAATGTCACCTTCCCCACACCCTGTTGGGAAGGGCTCACCACACCCAATTAAGCCTGGTCACAGCCATCACCTCTGGGAATAGACAGGTACTTGCCTGGGGTCCACACACACACACACACACACACACACCCCAAGAACTTAAGGCCAAGCTGAGGGCCAGGGGACACTGGCAGAGAAAGCTCTGATTTCCTGGCGCTGGCAAATGCCCAGGAAGCCCTAGTGACACGGTGCACAAGCACTTTCTGCTAACCAAAAGGTCAGGGGTTCAGTCCCACCAGCCTCTGTGGGAGAAAGAGGTGTTCCACTTCCGAAAAGAGGATGGGTTTGCAAACCCCGTGTTGCACTTCTGCTTTGTCCTGGGAGTCAGAGTCCACCCCACAGGCGGGGCCTGCACTTGGCTTTGAGTCCAGTGTCCTTCAGAGGCAGGACAAGATCTCTGTTATGTTGGGTCCCCTTGTGCCCCAGGAGCCTCTGGGCTGTTGCTAGTGGGACAATATAGCCTTTCTCTTCCGGGGCTTTTAGACACCTGCCTTGGGGTGATGGTCAGGGGGCAACAGAGACGCTCTTCAGTTTAGGCATGTTCCTTCTTCTAAAGAGGAATTCATGTGCTCGCTTCGGCAGCACATATACTAAAATTGGAACGAAACAGAGAAGATTAGCATGGCCCCTTGCACAAGGATGACACGCAAATTCATGAAGTGCCCCATAAAAAAAAAAAAAGGGGAATTCAACACTCAGGGAGGTTAGAGTCTTAAGAATTTGAAGGGGGGTGGGAATAGATATTTAATTTCTCAGCTCTGCGCTGGGGTTTGGAGCACAGATCCTGACTGGAGACCAGCCGCATGGGTTGAGGCTGTGAGGGGGGCCTGCTGGGTGGCTGGGCTTTTGCTGTTTTGCGCTTCCTGGGGCTGCTGCCCACCCCCCCTACAAGTGGGACTCCGGGTCCCCCAGAGCTGGAGCCACAAGCCTCACCTCTGTCACTTCCTCCTGCCTGGAGGGCCGCACTCAGCACTCCCCGCTCTCCCCACCGCCCCTCCCCAGGTTTCCGGAACCACCCAGAAGATGCAGCTGGACCTGGAGCAGCACCTGGCCCGGCTCAGCGAGATCTTCGCGGCTCACGGTGACTACATCCAGACCCTGAAGGTCATGCAGCGGATGGCCGACACCATCACCACCCAGCTGTCGGGGCTGCCCGTGTGGGAGGGCGTCACTGCCGAGCTGACCGAGGTGTCCAGCCAGACGAACTTCGTGGAGTACTACAGGTGAGGGGAGAAGAGGGGCTGTGTGGGGCGTGCGCCTCCCTCCTCCCTCCTGGGAATCAAGGCCCAGGCTGGGAAGCCGATCACCAGGCATCTTCCAGGGTAGCTCCGAGTGGCTTCAAATTCCCAACCTTGTGTCTCGTAGTGGAGCGCTTAACCAGGGACCTCAAGTGCCATCCTCACACCCACGGCAGTGTTTCAACTCATGGCAACCGGGGGGGGGGGGCGGGTAGAATTACCCAATAGGGTTTCCAAGCCTGTACTCCGTATGGGAGCATTCAGGAGAGGTATAGGACAGGAAAAGTCTGCCATCAGGCGCCTCTCCCAAGTCCTGAAGAGCAATGAGGTCAGTGTGAAGACTAAGGTGCACCTGATTCAAGTTCTATTGTTGTTATTGTTGTTTACCCCGGGTTTGGAACTGACCAGTATCCGAGCCTCCAGCGGGTTTTCAGAGGCAGTAAATCGCTTGGAAGGAGGTTGCTTTTCTTTCCCTGCAAAGCATCTCATGAATTTGAACTGCATACGCTTGTGATGGTGGCTCAGTTCTTTTACCACTAAGCCACCAGAGCTCCCTGATTCAAGCCGTAGTCTTTCCAGTCTCCTGCTATGCATCTGAGAGCTGGGCGGTGAACAAGGATGACAGGAGAAGGATCAATGCCTTTGGGTTGAGGTATTCGAGAAGAGTACCGAATATCCCATGGACTACCCAAAAAATAAATAGATAAGTCTTGGAGAAAATGCAGCCAGAGTGCTCCGTAGAGGCAAGGATGGAGAAACTTTGTCTCATACACATAGGATGTTGTTGTTGTTGTTATGTGCCATCGAGTCGTTTGCGACTCATAGCGACCCTATGCACAACAGCCCTAAAACCTGCTCTATCCTGCGCCAACTGCACTGCCTCTGACACACCCATCCTGATTACCCCAGTCACCGAATCAATGTTCAAAGAAGTGATTCCTCAGAGAGGGACATTATTCTTGGAAAGAGAGAAGGATTGATGCAGTGTCTGCAGCAATGCGTTCCAATGTTTTGGATAGGATAGGATAGGATAGGATAGGATAGGATAGGATAGGATAGGATAGGATAGGATA